ATCTCGAAACTCCACCACCACATTCTCACTGCTCCAGCGGGCCGCCATCTTCACCACCAGAACGTCAACAAATGAAGTGATACTAACGGGACGACAGTGTCATCTCGCGAGAACTCGCATGTCAGCCGCTTCTACCCAGTACACACTGACAAGATGGTCGCGACCGTAGTGGAGCATGTTGTGGCAGATGCTGGCGCTTTTCTCAAAAGGGCTCCTCTGCAAGTGAGTTATTGTTGATGACGTTGGCCTCCTTTTTAATAGTTTAATACTGCTGTCCAGAAATGTCCGTTTTAATGACTGTGACGCAGGATAAATTACAGAGCTGACACGTGTGCTGTACTGCGGTGTTTTGACCAAGAGTTAGAGTAAATCATTGATAGATTGTATGTTGCCACGATTGTGGTGTACTTGATTACATAAAGGCGACACATTAACAAAAAAATACCATGGTACTACCATGTTTTTGCACAGTGTGCCATTGTATTGTCTTGGTGTATTTTACCATAGTGCGTCAGTTCATTCACCATGGAGCATGGTGACAATTATGGAAGACTTTCAGTTGGACAACTAAGAAATATGTATTTACATCTAAATTATATATATATATATATATATTGTGAAATATTATTGCAATTTAAAATAATGGTTTTCTATTTTAATATACTTTAAAATGTAATTTATTCCTGTGATCAAAGCTGAATTTTCAGCATCATTACTCCAGTCTTCAGTGTCACATGATCCTTCAGAAATCATTCTAAAATGCTGATTTATTATCAATGTTGGAAACAGTTTTGCTGCTTAATATTTTTTGGAACCTGTGATACTTTTTTCAGGATTCTCTGATGAATAACAAGTTTAAAAGAACAGCATTTATTCAAAATAGAAATCTTTGGTAACAATATATACACTACCATTCAAAAGTTTGGGGTCAGAAGTTTTTGTCTTTTTTTTTTTTGAAAGAAATTAATGCTTTTCTGCAAGGATGTGTTAAATTGATAAAAAGTGATAATAGAGACATATTGTTAGAAAAGATTTATATTTTAAATAAATGCTGTTCTTTTTAACTTTATTCATCAAATAATCCTGAAAAAAAGTATCACAGGTTCCAAAAGAATATTAAGCAGCACAACTGTTTCCAGCACTGATAATAAATCAGTATATTAGAATGATTTCTGAAGGATCATGTGACACTGAAGACTGGAGTAATGATGAGGAAAAATCACCTTTGAATCACAGAAATAAATTATATTTTAAAGTATATTAAAATAGAAAACCATTATTTTAAATGGTAATAATATTTTACAATATTACTGTTTTTTTCTGTATTGTGGTCAAATAAATGCAGCCTTGATGAAGAGAAGAGATTTTTGATCCCAAACTTTTGAACAGCATTATATATATAGATATATGCATACCAGACACTGTATCTGTTATCACGTTTGTTTGCTTTACTTTTAGGAAATTGGAAAGAACATTTATACCTTGAAGGATGTTGTTGATGAAATTCGGGATAAACCAACAAAAAGGAGTTTGGCTTTTTTGCCATACAAGCTCAATTTCAAAGAACCGTTTCCAGAGCACGTACGATTTGGTAATAACAACTTATACTATTACTAATGCGTCTTATGTTGAATTATCTGTTATTTGAATGCTGAAACTGTGTTATATGCATATTAATTTTTATTTACTTTGAAACACAGTTACAGAATTCGCTAAAAAGACAGGAGACTATCCCAGTCTTTCAGCAACAGACATCAAGGTCCTGGCTCTGACTTATCAACTGGAAACAGAGAATGTGGGAACTGAGCATTTGAAGAAAGAACCTGAGAAAAAGGTACTGATGATTGATTGATTGATTGATTGATTGATTGATTAATTCAGATCTTAATTCACATTCATTCACATCTGTTCTAGTTTTCAACACTGTTTTCTGTTTGTTTCAGGTCCAAATACTCAGTACACAAAGACATCCAGAGACTCCTGTTGGCATTGCTGGTTTCCATTTTCCATCAAAAGTAAGACATTACTTGCAAATGCAAGTATTTGAGTAATGTTATTAAAATGAATATCCAAGGCTTATTCCAGTTTGACACCGATGTTTTTATAGAAAAAGTAAATATACATAGACAGATAATGCAGATGTACCTTAAGGACTCCTATTAATTTCAGCTTTTTTCCCCAAAAAAGTCTTCAGGCAAACAAAGTACAGCTGTCCAAATCCCACCTACAACAAATGAGCCACAAGACCCTGATACTTCACAATTCAACACCTTTCAGTTTTGGAGGAATCCTCTGCCCAGCATTGAGACTGACCTTCTGGAACTGCTGGTGAGGAATCCGACAACATCCAAACCGCTGCCACAGTCACTTTAGACCAAAATAAATCCTATTTTCCTTCTTTCTTTCCTTCTCTCTAGGCAGCAGACGCCATCACAGTCACAGACAAACTAGAGTCTGTTGACCTGTCTGCTGACAGTCAGCTGGCTGAATCTGAAGATCAAGATGGCACTAGTGGAGACCAACACGAGGAAGAAGAAGAAAGCAGCGATCAGGAGGAGGATGGTGGTGATGGTGGAGGTTGGATTACTCCCAGCAACATAAAGCAAGTCCAGATGGATGCTAGTAACTGGGGACCGACAGCAGATGTCAGAGTGGGCTGCTTGACCACTGACTTTGCCATGCAGGTACTTGTCATTGATTAGACATATTGGAAATAATCAATTAAAACATGTTTTTCACAGATTTTATAATATTATATTTTCCCAACTGTGAACCTTGTTTACATACAGAAAAAGTTATTGGATAATGAAAATGAGGATTCTTATTGTTCATTGTAACAATGTGTGCTGATTAAAGGAATAGTTCACCCAAAAATGAAAATTTGTTGAAAAATGACATCCAAGATGTAGATGAGTTTATTTCTTCATCAGAACAGATTTGGAGAAATTTAGCTCAACAATGGGTCCTCTGAAGTGAATGGGTGCCGTCAGAATGAGAGTCCAAACAGCTGATAAAAACATCATAATAATCCACACCAGTCCAGTCCATCAATTAATGTATTGTGAAAAGCTGTGTGTTTGTGGTTAACAAAACTGTCATTAAGACGTTTTTTTTTTACTTCAAACCATTGGTTCCAGCTAAAATACGAGTCCATAATCCATAATATTGCTTTCTGCAGTGACAAAGTCATCACGTCTGAATCAGGAGAGAAATCCGAAACAAACGCTGTTTACAATTGAAAACGGTCCAAAACAGTTCTGAACGAATATGTCGGTGGATTTTGATGAGAGAACAACAGGGGATGGACTTTTTCACTGGAGGAAGCAATATTATGCATTATGGACTCGTATACACATACTCAAATTTGTTTTCTTACAAACATGCAGCTTTTCACTTCACAAGACATTAACTGATGGACTTGGAGTGGTGTGGATTACTTGTGGATTATTGTTGATTATGTTTTTATCAGCTGTTTGGACTCTCATTCTGACGGCACCCATTCACTGCAGAGCATCCATTGGTGAGCAAGTGGTGGAATGCTAAAATATTTCTTTAACCATGCACATTAAGCAAGTGTGGTCAATTATGTCCATTGTTTTGTCACAAAAACCTAATTTCTTGTTGTTTTCCTGACAGAATGTTCTGATTCAGATTGGACTGCATGTGCTGTCTGTTAATGGCATGCTTATTAAAAACACCAGGAGTTACATTCTGCGCTGTCATGCCTGCTTCAAGTAAGTGATGGACTCACCTCGGAAAAGAATAAGTTTTGGAGCAGGAATAATTACACATTTATAATAATATGTGATGTGTGTAACTTTGTCACTGTAATTGTTTTCTTCTTCTTGTTGTTTCCATATTTTCAGGACAACAACAAACATGAACAAATCTTTCTGTCCACATTGTGGGAACGACACCTTGAAGAAGGTTGCTGTCGGCATTAACAAGGACGGCACCATGCAGATGCATTTTTCCAGGAATTCAAAAGTGCTCAATCCAAAGGGGAAGAGAGTGAGTAATGCGTTGGATGTTATAACAGTAAATGTAATGTTATATATGAGCTAAATGCATTAAAAATTTGGAAGGCATTGCATGAGTAGTGTCATATAAATCAATGTTAGTAATCATGTACTTATGGTTTGTTTCTTCTCTTGTCCTCTGCAGTACTCTTTGCCTTTGCCACAAGGAGGAAAACACGCCAACAACCCACACCTGGTGGACGATCAGCGTTTCCCCCAGCAGAGATTGTCTAAAAAGGCTCGTCAGAAGACTGATGTGTTTGACCCAGACTACCTGGCTGGCAGCTCTCCGTTCTCAGAGCACGATATCTACAGCAGGTCAGCCAGCTTACAGCTGCGGGACGCTCAGACTGGAGGAGGAAGACAACGAACAAATCCTAACGCAGCACGCAAAAAATGTGTTAAGAAGTGATTGTTCTCTCCCTACCTGCAGATTCTGGACTGGAAGCTTGAAACATTGAATTCTTGATTGAATTAAAATGTTAGTGGTGATTTCTCTTAATAAATCGGTTTCATCTTTCTCTTGACCTTAGGTTTAACTCTATATCACAAAATATTTTCCATAATCTACCCTCATACCAGTTGAAATTGTGAAATGGAAATCTTATTTTTGTGCTAACTTTTAATAACTTGCTTTTGATCTAGATATAAAAGACACTTTGCAAAGACAATCTGCTATTCCATGCAAACTCCTCTATTTTGTGGGAAAAACAGAACATATTTGATTCATTGTAATGAATATCAGAAAGAACAGCTCAATATTTTTATCCAGTTTTAATAAAACTTTCCCCCCAAAACACCCTAGAAAATATGAGCAAACAAAAAACATACAACAGAAGTAAAATCTACTACGTAATCAAATTAAAAGTACATACAGATGCCACAAAGAAACTCCCACAGCTGTGGAACAAGTAGAGGGTTTGTAAATGATGACAGAATTTTTATTATTGGATGAACTATCCCCATTTTAATGCCTTTGCATTAGATAAGCTGCATCTGTAGACAAATGATGCACAAGCTTTTCTTAGAACTACATTATTATTTATTTTTTTGCAATGACATTTCACCAGTGTTGGGGAGTAACTAGTTACATGTAACGGCGTTACGTAATTTAATTACAAAATAAATGTCACTGTAATCAGTTACAGTTACTAAGAAAAAATGTGTAATTAAATTAGTTACTTATGAAAATGTTAACGATTACAAAGGGGATTACATTTGAATATTTACACACATCCACATACAGATTTAATTGATTTATTTCCCAAATTGCACTGAACGGAATATGCCACATTTTGGAAGAATAAATCAAAAGTAGGTCAATACACTTGAATCAAAGCCGCGAAATTTTGAATATTGAAGCCGCGAAAAGACAATATATGAATCCTGCACGTTCTGCGTGTCTGGAAATCGGGCGCGAACTGGCCATCGGAAGAACCGGGACTATTTCCGGTGGCCTGGCAGCCGATTTGGCCCGCTATTTTAATATTATTATTGTATAATTGCCTGCCGAATGTACTAAAGCGATTATTTCCGAATTCGCCATTCGATAATTAAACAAATGGTGTTTGCAACCTGTTTTTTGTAATGTGACAAAAATGTCGATGTTATCCTGAAGATATTCACCTAGCACGAGAGCAAGCTGGGCTGGAGGAAAGAGAACCTGTAAACATCGGTTCAAGAATGGCACCATGTCTTCAGCAAATGCACTGCAGAACTGAACAAATAAATCCCGTTCACGGCTACTGAAGGCAGATTCCTCGGCTCGATGGAAAACCAGGATCAGCTTGGTCACCTAAGAACAGAATAACATTGTTACATCAGAATCTGTCAAATATGTCTACATCTTTTCCTTTCATTGTCGATTTAAATTCAGTCAATCTACACTACTGTTGGAAAGTCTAGCAAGTTTTTTTTTTTTTGGAAGAAATTCTTAAAATCACACCAAGGATGATAATAACTATAAAGCTTTAAAAATGGTTCTAATTCTAGAATATGAGATTATGGAAGTACACGCCATAACTATAACAATAACACAGGGTATCGGAATACAATATTGGAATGATATGTTGGAATCACTTTCAGATCATTGACAGCCAATCAGAATCCATCCTGCTTTAAAGAGCTCAAGCATTTAAAGTGGCAGACAACAAAACTGCAGTGTGCTAATAATGAACAGAACCTTACCATGCTAAAATAGTTATTGTTATAATTAGCATTCTTTGTGTGAACGGGCGTTTATTTAGCAAGAACGCATTAAATGGATCAAAAGTGACAGTAAATACATTTATAAGTAACATTACAAACTACATTACAACTTTCTGTTCATCAAAGAATGCTGAAAAAAATGGATCAGTTTGCACAAAAATATTCGGCAGCAAAACTGTTTTCAGCAAGGACGACAATAATAAGAAATGTTTCTTAAAGCAGCAAATCAGCATAATAGAATGATTTCAAAAGGATCATGTGACACTGAAGACTGGAGTAATGATGCTGAAAATTCCGCTTTGGATCACAGGAATAAAATGCATTTTAAAATATATTCAAATAGAAAACAGCTATTGAAATGTGTAATAATATTTCACAATTTTTCAGCTTTTACTGTATTGTGATGAAATAAATCCAGCCTCGATGGCCATAAATCGGGGGAAAAAAAACGTACCTGTAGTATATATTTCTAACATATTATTTATGTAATTAATTACCTTAAAAAGGGCTTCCTCAACACATCTGCTAACTTCTTGTGCGAGTCCAATAGGGCAGCACAGTCGTAAGTCATTGAAGGCTGTCAGGACGTTATTGAGGAAGCAGGCTAGAGGTGGGAAATCCAGCAGGGCCATGGGGGGCTGCAGTGTGCCCGGCTGGGTGCTCAGGACCGCCGGAGGAATGGTGCTTCCAAGTATGGACGGCAGAGAAATCAGCGTGTACAAGTTAATATCCTCTTGGAACTTGTCCACCGCTTCCTGAACAGCCTTCCGGAATGTGTCCATGGCAACCTGCTGAAATATGGGAGCGAGTTGGCCACGGAAATCCGCCCCAACCCGGCTAAATGAAAGGCCGAAGTACATGCACTGGCCGAGCAGAGAGTCCAAGCGGCTTCCCACACCACGCTGGAGGTCCCGATCGAGGGTCTCCAAAAACTGCGCCGCCTGCTGCACCACCCAGCCGTGAAAGATGGCGCTCTCGTTCAACGCCTGACCACCGGGCAGCAGCAACGGATCCTCGTCTGAAAATATGGCACGATACTGGGTGATGATGTCGAAGAGATGCACGCGGCAGGTTTCGATGGTTTTGGTAATGTGGAAGTAAGGGTCTTCATCCGGGACGGCGGCGAGAATAGAGCGCAGCCAACTTCCACGGGCTTGCAGGAACTTGACACGCAGCTCGGCTTCGGTGAAAATGTCCATTCTGCGCAAGTATCCGATCACGCGCAGACAAACCGGGAGCTGTGTATTACTACGCAGTTGTTGAAGAAGTTGGTTCAGCATGAGCTGAGCAGACAGTCGAACCTCATGCACAATTCCCTAAAAAAACACAAACAGGAATATTATTTAGTATAAAATATTTGTTGTTTTTCAGACATTTTTACAGTCCACCAGGTGAAAAACATAAATCTTATCAATTACAAAAGTAAAAGCACAACAAATGTACCATATTTTCTGGAATTTAAGTTGTTACATTTATCATCTGAAACACGCTGCGATGTATATTCCAAAGCAAATTAAATAAATAAATAACAGGAAAATGAATACAACATTTAATTAATGACTAAACAGAATTTAAAAAAATAATCAAATCAATCGTGTTTTTTATAATCTAGCCATTTACTCCTTTATTTTTTCCTACCATTACAGTTATTACTTAAAGGGGTCATCGGATGCTACATGCACTTTTACAAGTTGTTTGAACTGAAATGTGTGTTGGCAGTGTGTGTACACAACCACCCTATAATGATGAAGATCCACCCAGTGTTTTTTTTTTTTAATCTGGTTAAATCTTTACCCATTTCTCAAATCGAGCTGATCTCAGATGCCTGTCTGTGTGACGTCACACAGACAGGCCCCTCCCACGACAGTTTGATTGACAGTAGCGTTTCAGCACAGACTGGACTGGTGTCTTACCTCAGACCCGCCCTGAGTGAGCTGCCATCAGTCCGCCATTGTTTCACCGCCGGAGCAGATGTAGACAAGAATGACTCCTAAGCGATTGAGGTGTTCTGTTGTTGGATGTAATAATGAACATAGCAGTCCTCATTTACTCCCGACATCTGAGCCGCTGAAGACGCAGTGGATTACGTTTGTTTCTGAAGGGAATGCACCCCCGATCTACATAAATGCATCTATGTTCGCGCGAATCATTCATGTTCCAGCCTCATCTACAGAAGAAGTGAGTATAATGTTTTGTAATGAATCTTTGCAAATCCCCTTTCCTAATAATGTGCTAATTAGCAAGTTTCACGATGAATGCGGCTAAAGTAAACAGTCTCTCTGAGAGCAGCTCGGAAGAGAGGGGTGGGGTCAGCAGAGCTCATTAACATTTAAAGGGAAATGCTACAAAAACGGCTTGATCTGAAAAGAGCTGTTTTTGACAGGGTAAAAAAAGGTGTTTTTACATTTACATTGAGAAATTTTAACCAAACTATGTAACAGACTTTTCATTAAGACCCTAAAGAATCATATCAACTTGTGGAAAATGGGCATCCTATGACCCCTTTAATATTTTTTGCAGGTTTGGTCCTCCATATATGCGAGTATAGTGCAATATAGTGAATTTTTAGGCTGGGCATTTATGATAAATGTTTATAATGAACGTAACTATAAATACTTATATTTTTCATTCCCGTCCTGAACAGAGGTTTAAGTGATAGTTCACCCAAAACGGAAAATTTTGTGATCATTTACTCACCCTTGTTCAAAACCGGTATGTATTTCTTTCTTCTGTTGAACACAAAATATTTTGAAGAATGTTAACCAAACAGTTACCACTGACACTTAGCCATTGACTTCCATAGTATTTTTTTTTCCATACTGTGGAAGTCAATGGCCACCAGCAACTGTTTGGTTACCAACATTCTTCAGAATATCTTCTTTTGTGCTCAACAGAAGAAAGAAACTCACACAGGTTTGGAGCAACTTGAATTATTACCCGTATTTTACATTATTTCTGATTGTAATATTAAAATCTGAGTTACACACCAGTACGGCTTATCTATGCATTTTTTTCTTTCAACAATGCAGTGCGACTTATTTTCCGGAAAATATGGTAATAGTGAAAAACTGTGATTACAGGTGCAGAACAGTATCACATGTACCTGAATGACAGGAAGTGATGAATGTTTTTTCTCCAGTCTCTTCACATAAGCAGCAAGCTCCAGCGCCTCCTCATAGTATCCGTTACGCACAGACGTGTCCATCAGCTGAGGGATCTCCAGAATCTCCAAGATCTCAGTGTGTCGATTCAGTGTCAGGCTGTTTATACGCCTGCTGACGCTGATCTCCTCTGCCTCCTTAATAAAACCTCTGCAAAGAAATGACAAAACAGCAACCAGTTACTTACAGCATTTCTGAACATGTTTTATGAGTACTGCACTGTAATACGTTTGCTTGGATTATGTTGCAATGCCTTTTTTCTCATTGGCCTATTACAAAAATTCAAATGATGATAACTTTCATTAATAAGCCATTAATTAACAGTATATAATGCGTAGCATGTATGTACACTACAGTTTTTGTTGTTTTTGAAAAAAAAGTATACTTTTTTCAGCAAGGATGCATTAAATTTATAAAATGTTACGAAGACATTTATAATGTTACAAAAGACTTCTATTTCAAATAAATGCTGTTCATTTAAACTTTATATAAAAGAATCCTGAAAAAAAAAAAGTATTAGTTTTCACAAAAATATGAAGCAGCACAACTGTTTTTATCTTTGATAATAAGAAATGTTGAGCAGCAAATCAGTATATTAGACTGATTTCTACAGGATCATGTGTCACTGAAGACTGGAGTAATGCTGCTGAAAATTCAGCTTTGCATCACAGGAATAAATTATATTTTAAAATATATTACAACAGTAAATAGTTACTTTAAATGGTAATAATATTACATAATTTTACTGGAATTTTGATCAAATAAATACAGTCTTGCTGGACACTTGAGTCTTTTTTCAAAACTATTTTTAAAATCGTACCAACCCCAAAACATTGAACAGCAGTGTACATTCATATGAAAACAGATCAAATATGGATATATTTTCAGACTATTTTAAAGTACATTATGAACTTTTAAGCACTGGGTTTAAATGTATGTTTCTTGAAGAAATAATACATTTAAAAAATATGAATAAATGTAAAGTTATCACACGGTTACGAAATCTGTCTATATCAGAATCAAAACTATCCATCTGCAATGTACAATTCATTAATTAATGATCAGTTAAACGTTATACAAGTTTAATACATATTAATATGAATAAATGTAAAGTTATCACACGGTTACGAAATCTGTCTATATCACAATCAAAACTATCCATCTGCAATGTACAATTCATTCATTAATGATCAGTTAAACGTTATACAAGTTTAATACATATTAATAAATCAAAAATTATAACTTTTAAGTTATAACAGCTACTAATGTTGTCCATTCCCGCAATCAAAAAATACATTAAAACGAATTCAGTAAGATAAAAATCAAATCAATAAACAACCTGTCAAATTAATGTCTGCAGTGTTGCCAAGTCCCCGGTTTTCCCGCAGAATTGGGCTGCGTTAACACTGTTGCCGCGGATTGAAGCGACACCAATAACGTGATGTTTATCTCCTGGAATGCGAATTTTTCCAGAGGAACCACGCCAAAACAAAGTGTATTTTACCCCCCGGAACGCGATTTTTACCGGGGAATTTGCCACGAAAAACGGGGATTTGTGTTGAAAACCTGGCAACCCTGTCTGTCAATCTATCGTTACTTCCCCCATTATTTTCTACACAGACAGAGTGAAGCACAGACCCGCATCTCTCAGTAAAGCTGGGGAGTTTGTGCAGTAGTTTAGAGAGGCAGTTCTCCACCGTGCTGAAGTCAGCGTAGATGTGCTGCGTGCAGTCCGCGGTCCTGATGAACGTCTTGTAGTTGGTGAAGGCCAGTTCTCGGGTCTGCTGCAGGATCTGCGCCCGCTCCTCCGCCAGACGCTCGGGCTCCCGGTTCAACTCGTCCACACTGCACGAGCTCAGCTGCGACAAATACGCCGCGAAGTCCGGGTTCTCGCTCCAGTTCTCAGGAAAGCTGTCTTTGAAGATCGAGGCCAGGATACTCTCATCTTCCACGTCTACGGCAGCCATGATCGAAAGTGTTGATCAAAACCCTACGCCAAGCTTTATTTAAACTGCACGACGTCACTTGTGTGCGACGGACTGAACCCACGTGGCCTGTGCACTGCGAGCGCTGCGGTGTTTGAGTTTCTTTAGCAAGAATATCATTATTCTTTTCATCATGCGTCCGTTAACAGACGAAGAGACAAAAACGATGTTTGAGAAACTCTCTAAATAGTAAGTGACATGTTTCGGCAAGACTTAATTAGAGCAGGAATTAGTATTGTGTCATCATGTCGTGTAAAAAGCATAAGCTAAATTATTATACATTCTTAAAATGCATAGTTTATTTATTTTTACTGTTATTTGTATTATATTTGGCAATACTTACATTGATATGATTTGCATGGTTTTGTAATATTATTTACAGCTCGTATTTATATCATTATTTTAAGTATTGTGTATGTGTTGCATAATATAGCCCAAGATTATTTTAAATTATGACTTAAAGTATGTTTCTAGTGCTGTCAAACGATTAATCGCATCCAAAATAAAAGTGTTTGTTTACGTAATATATGCGTGTATACTGTGTACAGTAATTATGTATATATAAATACAAACACATGCATGTATATATTTAAGAAAAAGATGTTATGTTTATATATAATATAAGAATATAAATGTATATACATGTAAATATTTTCAAAATATATACTGTATGTATATATACATAATAAATACACACAGTACATGTACACATTATGTAAACAAAAACGTTTTAATCGCGATTAATCATTTGACAACACTATTTAATACCAGTTGCATTAAGTACGCCCAATTTTTGTGTTTCTAGCATTGGGGAGAATATCAAACTTCTTATTGATCGGCCTGATGGGACTTACTGTTTCAGACTTCATAATGATCGGGTATATTATATGAGGTAAGGTTGTCTGCTATCTTTGTTATTTAACATTACTATTAATTGTGACATTAAATATGGTCTCCATAAACATTTCCTGTGGAAGTTTCCTATTCATTTGTAATAGCCAGTTTGCTTAAACGATTGATATTTTGGACTGAAAAAAAGGTTGATGTTTTAATTGAATGTACCTGCTACAAATTCATTTATTAATCAATATGTAATCAACAATTAGGGGTACACTATAGATGACCTTAAAGTGAATAGAGGATGGAATAACACCAAAAAGTCCAGTTTTGCTTTCATTGAGTCTTTAATGTAATGCTAATGTAAATATGAATTTGAAATAAATTGCATAGTAATCGTATTTTGTCATCTTGTCCATTTTAGTGAAAAAATCTTGAAGTTGGCTACAAATATCTCCCGAGATAAACTGGTATCTGTTGGCACGTGCTTCGGAAAGTTCACGAAAACACAGAAGTTCCGTCTGCACATCACGGCTCTCGATTTCCTCGCGCCATATGCTAAGGTACATATTCATTCTGATTATGTATTTTCCAGCATTAACACTGTTATTTTCTTGTTTATTAGTGTGAAGCTGCTTTGAAACAATCTGTAATGTGTAAAGCACCATAGAAATAAATGTGACTTGATTATATTTATATCTATTTATAGACACTTTTTGGCTTCTTGTGTGACTCAAAAACAAAAGTAATAATATCAAAAAGTTTTAATTTTGTAAAAAAAAAAAAAAAGCATGTAGGCATGATTTATATTTGTCTATAATACACTTTTTAATCATTTTAGCAGAAGCCTTTAGATCAATGTTTTTTAAGATCATGACAAATTCAATCAAGTCACCTTGGACACAGTCAAGTATGTCCAAACTTTTGACTGGCTATGTGAATATAGTATATCCTATTTCATAATGTAACGTGCCTCGTGTATGCCACTGTAGTTTAAGGTGTGGGTGAAGCCGGGATCAGAGCAGTCATTCCTGTACGGAAACCACATCATGAAGTCCGGCCTGGGGAGAATCACAGAAAACACAGCGCAGTACCAAGGAGTGGTGGTGTATTCAATGGCAGATGTACCGCTGGTGAGACATTTTTGTTTAAAAATCCTCAAGGTGCTACAACAGTTGTCATGTTAAATAAATAGTTCACTAAAAAATGAAAATTAGCTGAAAATGCATTCCCTTTCAAGCCATCCAAGATGTAGAAGAGTTTGTTTGTTCATCAGAACAAATTTGGAGAAATGTAGCATAGCATTCCATCACTTGCTCACCAATGGATGCTCTGCAGTGAATGGGTGCCGTCAGAATGAGAGTCCAAACAGCTGATAAAAACAAAACAAGTAATCCACACCACTCCAGTCCATCAGTTAACATTTTGTGAAGAGAAAAGCTGCGTGTTTGTAATAAAAACATTAAAAAAAATTATTATAAATACACAGCTTTTCACTTCACAAGACATTAATGATGGACTGGAGTAGTGTGGATTATTATGATGTTTTTATCAGCTGTTCGGACTCTCATTCTGACGGCACCCATTCACTGCAGAGGATCCACTGGTGAGCAAGTGATGGAATGCTACATTTCTCCAAATCTGTTCTGATGAACAAACAAACTCATCTACATCTTGGATGGCCTGAGGGTGAGGACGTTTTGAGCAAATTCACGTTTTTATGTGAACTGTTTCTTTAAGAATTCAGTGATCTTGAATGGTGCTCTCACAATCTTCATCTCTTTTCAGGGCTTTGGAGTGGCAGCAAAGACCACACAGGAGTGTCGGAAGGTGGACCCCATGTCCATTGTGGTTTTCCATCAGGCTGATATCGGCGAGTACATCAGAAGTGAAGACACTCTCACATAAGAGGATATAATATCTCCTGTGCTCATGGACAGTTCATCACATTCTGGTGATTGGATGTTCCCAACTTTAAATTCAAAGCATTGCATTCTTTTGGACTGTTTTCAGTGTTTAAACAATATTTGTTATATGTGACTTTTCATTGACTTTCTGTATAAAATAATAATAATTAAAAAAAACGTCAAGGTTTTGAAATAACTGTTTTTTGTGATTTTATTAATTATTTTCATCTGATTTTAAAATGATACAGGGCAGCTGGGTAGTACCAAACCAAACAGGATACAAAACTAGATCAAACCAGACCAATCTTACACAAACTAGTTAAAAATAAATGTTTGTTAAAAAGAACACCGACTTGCTAAACAGGGTTCACACACCTTTTGACCAATTCATTCAATATTTTTTTCCCAGTGTGTTTGTGTTATGTTACTGTAAAAGAAATAACACTAAGAGCAATTTATTGCCAATGAAATATTCATATTATCTTCAAATTTCATTCCACAGCTTGATTTCCATTATTTTATTAACTATATTTCCAAGTTTTTAATGATGGTGGAAACACTGATTGAAGTACTGCAAATCAAAGTACAATAATATTTTCAATAATATTAGCCATATATTGTCAGTTTGGGGTCAGTATTTTTTTTTAAGAAATTAACTTTTTTTTTTTTTCAGCAAGGATGCATTCAATTTAAAATGATCAAAAGTGACGGTAAAAACATTCAACATGTTACAAAATATTTCTATTTCAAATAAAGGCTGTTCTTTTGAACGTTGTATTAATCAAAGAATCCTGAAAAATGGTTTCAACAAATATTAAGCAGCACATCTGTTTTCAGCTTTAATAAATGTTTCTTGAATGCTAAATCAGCATATTATACTGATTTCTACAGGATCATGTGACACTGAAGACTGGAGTAATGATGCTGGAAATTCTGCTTTACGCCACAGGAATAAATTACATTTTAAAATATATTCACATAGAAAACAGGTCTTTTAAATTGTAATATTTCACAATACTGCTCTATTATTATTATTATACTATATTTTGTTAAAATAAATGAAAATCTTTGGTGAGCATAAGAAAAAAAAATCAGGTTCACACCTCAGGCTTCAATAGCTTTTAAATCTAATGACTTTATGTAAAAGAACTTTACATCATAAAAGAACATCATAACTTCATGACACCTGAAAGTATCAGAACGATATTTGTTTACACCATTTATAACAGACATAATTTCATAATCTTTGTGGCTGTACACCCTGTTTCCAACATTTCCAAGTTCAGACACTGCTAAAAATGCAAGCAAAATTCAGTAAATGACCCGTTTCCTGCTCAGTGAAGTCTGCAGCACTGTAAAGGTCTAATGTGGGGAAAAGGTGAAAGTTGGAGACAAAGTTTCCAGATTTTGCTGATACTATCAGACTGATGATGGGAATAGGCTTGGTTGAACCACCAAGAAATAACATATGTAATAGTTTATTCCCTAATGCTATTCTTCTGAGGTTAATGAAGGTCATTTAAAGGGACAGTTCACCTTCAGTTGCTGGTCCCCATTGACTTCCATAGTACAGAAAAAAAAAAAAACACTATGCAAGTCAATGGGGTCAGCAACTGAAGGTGAACTATCCCTTTAAGAGCAAACATCCCTCTTTACAGTCAGTTTTACAGTCAAGTATCATCTAAAATCACGTAAGCGTGTTTTAAAAATAGAGTTGAGGTCAGGCAAATACTGTTGCAGTAGTAATAATAGTACAGAATGCAAAACTCAAATTATTCTAATGCAAAGAAAACGGTTCCTCTTCTACCCAATTAACACAAGGTATAAAAAGCATGAGATACATTCTTAGTGATGTGCTGATAAAAAGGCAAGTCTTCTCACATCAAATTCAAAACATGATCTTCAGGATGATCTTCTGCATATAGTACATATTCCCTTATAATAACTCATAGACTTGTTTAGAAAGACTCGAAACGTTTCTTTAAAGTACAAATAAACTACACCAAGCCATTCTAGTTCAATCGGAGTTACACTGCATGAACCGTCTGCATTGTTCTGATGGTTTGTATGAAAAGCCAGTCATAATAATGAGAAGGGAATGTGTAAAATAAAGTTTCATTGTCATATGAGAGTCATTACATTAACAATGAATAACAAAACTGGCACACAAATCATTGTAACATAAATAAAATGCTGGAATTACACTGATATTAATGGCAGAGTAACATAAGTCTTTTACTTGATCTATAATCATTTATCGAAGAATCAAATGTCAGACTGACTCAGATTTTCAAAAATCCGTTTATCTCTAGTCTTGTGCCTTCAAATGCAGTTGGCTTCATCTTTTACATTGGACTTCTTGAATGGCTGTGATACCAGAACCAAAGCATCTGTTCTGCTTGGTAAATAGAGTGGTTTTCTAAGCCTCTTAAAATCTATCTAGAGACCTATCGAAACTGGCCTTTTAGTGCTGTGATATAATGTACTGCCAGTATTTTTGTTGATTTTTTTAAATATATTTTGAAAGTAAAAACAACTATGTTCTAATCATACAGCAAGAAAATCTCACTAAGCCAGTCAACAACATAACCAGGCCATATTTTCACACCATAATAAAACAAAACAAAAAAAAAAGTTTTTTATATATTACATAAATAAGTCTATATTTAGGAACATCATGGATTTATGGCATTGTGACATTATTCTCATTTAAGTATTATTAAAAATATTAAAAATAACTGATTGATTGATGATTTTTATATTTGATAACTGACTATTTTTCATAATTAATCAGCAAAAATGACCGGGAGTGAATGAAATGTGATGATGTAAAATATTTTAACTTTTAAATAATATAATTTATTATTTGGTTATATTTTATACAAAGAAAATTTTTATTATATACTATATATAATTTAAAGTAATCTTTATGCAAAATATAATTTCTTGTTTTTTATCATTTCATTTGGGGGGGTCAAATATGACAAAGATGTTCTTGACAGATTTTGTGAGATTCCCTTGAAAATCAAAGCAACACACACAACCCTACCAAACAAGTTCCAGCTTTATATGATGAAAATATTTTCCAAAAGGAAAACTTAGTGGTCACCATGAAGCGATTCTCCAAGCTAAAGGTAAAAGCAATCTGACGATAAAGTGAAGACGACAATGAAAACACGATGCAACGCGAAACAGTATAAAACACAAAGTGATAGTCAGCCTCAGGTAATTGTGCAGCATAGCTCACTATGCCTGTCCACGTCAGCTCATTTTACTGCCGTGTGTTAAAATAGTAATCTACACATTAATTAGAGTTCCTGGCTCAGCCGTGGGCCTCGTGCGCACGGAGGACATACTTTAATTATGTGTGCCATAATGTGATTTGTCTTTATTTATCTCACAGAGCAGCTTAAGGTCAATGTGAGAATTATATAAAGTCAAGCTCTTTGTGGGATTGGCATTCATTTCAAGACTACAGAATGAGGCTATTATTATCTCTACAATACATGAAGATGAGGCTATTTTAAAATGACTTTATCATTTAGGTTATGCGCTAAAGACAAGGTGACTAAACCAGCTGCAAGCACTTAACACCTAAGAAAGTGAATCTCACAAGGAAATGTCCAGTTCGTATTTCAAACTAAAATCAAAAGAAAAAGCTATAAATTATATTTTACATAAAGAAAACAAAGTTAATTTGATCTGCAAATTTTTGTGCATTATTTTATGTATAATTAAGCAACTTCAATTCTCATTACTGTAGTGTGAAAAAAATGTCACTGTCATTATTATAGTAAAGTAATTAAAAAATAAAATCAGCATAAATTAAATTCAGTACAAATGATGTATAAATACTTAACATTTTAAATAATAGATTACCTATCTATTACAATTATGCAAATAAAACATTTCCTTTCAATGTAAATAAAATAGTAATAGGCGAAGAAAAATAATATACAATATAATTTTTTATTTTCTCCTTTTGATTTTGATTTTGATGTGATATCTGAGCACCTGGACATTTCCTGACAATTTTTGTGAGATTCACCAAAGAAACTTTTTTTTTTTTGGCAAAAACACATTCCCTTTGCAAATTTCAGTTTGGTTTATGATCTATTTCTTTAAATAACCTTCACATGCTAACCATTATTTTTGTCACACGGTAGCTCTAGATGCAGCTTCTTCAGGCTGGATAACGGATATCAACACCTTTCAAATGTTCTGTAAATTTCCGAACGACAAAAATAAATCAAAAGCAAATCAAAATGAATGTTCATGAAGACAATATGAGCATAACAAATATGATCCGCCTTACGAGGTAATAATGTGTGGACGCAGACAGACTGTATCGAGACGTAGCCTCATTGTTCCAGGAGTGACATCAGTTATTTAACAAGTTTTCACCATAGTAGCTCCAAACCTGCTTCAGTATTAAAGGAAGGAGTCCTATGTCCTATGTGAGGGGGTAATAGGCATGAAGGCAGACGGCTGTGCCTTACAGACAGCATTCTTCACTCAGACTGAGAACTCGGCTCCGTTCTTCCGGGCGCGAACCATCAGAACCCGAAGACGGAGTCCAGCAAAAGGGTTGAACCAGAGCAGAGAGGGCAGCCCGCCGAAAACAGACTTCATCCCCTCCCATCTCACCCGCCGCTCCCACGTGGGCTTCTCGTTCTTCAATCGCTCGATTTCCTATGTGGGTCAAGCAGAAATGTAAAGTCATGGCTAGTACAGTGAGCCCATTGTTACAGAACAAAGATAGCAAATATCTTCTTTTCACTGGTTTACTATACATAATAAAATATGTGACCCTGCACCACAAAACCAGTCATAAGGGTCAATTTTTTGAAACTGAGATTTATACATCTCCTGAAAGCTGAATAAATAAGCTTTCCATTGATGTATGGTTTGTTATGATAGGACAATATTTGGCCAAGATACAACTATTTGAAAATCTGGAATCTGAGGGTGCAAAAAAATCAAAATATTGAGAAAATCATCTTTAAAGTTGTCCAAATGAAGTTCTTAGCAATGCATATTACTAATCAAAAATTAAGTTTTGATATATTTACGGTAGGAAATAATATACCTGATACCTGTGCGACTGCTTTTGTGCTCCAGAGTCACATATTTGTAATTTTTTTATGATTAATATAATAAAAAATAAAATAAAGTAATATTTTATTATATACATATATAA